TTCGACTACTCCGCCTAGGCTGCACTGTCGAGCGCAGATCCACTGAGCGCTCAACACAGACAGCACCGTCAGAAGGAAAGTTGATAAAATAAATTAAAAATTTTGTATTGTTCGATACATATGCGTACCGAACCGAAAGCACTGTATTGAACGGTTCAATATCGATACGAGTATTGTTGCATCCCTAATAAATAAATATACACACCTATCTATCTATCGATCGATCGATAGATAGATCTCAATGTCCCTCTGGCTCTTAATTCATATGATACCAAACAGAGCGTGAAAACAATCGAGCAAAACAGTTCGATCTTCTCAGTTCACTTTCAGCAACTTTGCACGTTGAAAGCATACAAAGAAAAGCAATTGGTGAAGCTGGCATGATATGCCTCTAAACTGCTGTGGCTTTGATTAGGTGATCATCCAATTGAACCAATATCCACAAATCAGATCAGTGCATCCCTAGTAAATCATGTGGTCATTACCCAAAGCCAGGGTATCAGTTACGAACTGGAAAAGTTGAATAAAATTTTCCCAACAGGAACAGTTCATGCATAATATTAGCTTTATGTATGTTACTGATTATTTCTTTTAAAAAAAATGCTGAGTAATGATCTGTAATAATATGGAAAGAATAATATTTCGTAAATGCTTTAATTTAATCATGTAACTGGATATTTTCTTTACATTATTGAAATATAATAATGCAAGAAATCAAGAGTTAGCTGCCAAAATCCATGCACTGAATGAATGAGGAAAAGAAAGACAGCACAAGTCAGCAAGCTCCAGCTTTGAGCAGTTAACTAAAAGCTTGAATTATAACACCTTGCAACCAACATGTTTTGCTAGCATATGACGAGATTCAAAAGAAACCTCATAGGAGAGGTAAACTGCCATTCAGCATTTATCAAAAATGTGCATTAGGAGGAGTTATGCTCAGAATTGCGGGTGAAGTTGCACTTAGAGCAAAGAGATGATCCGATTGAACTCAGTACATGCAAATAGATATTTTAATTTTTGACTTACGAATACACTGAGGAAGTCCAGGCGACCACTGACTATTTAGCTTACACGTCACAGTCGCGGATCCAATCATTTTGTATCCAGTGCTACACTGTAATGTGACTGTAGACGAGTATCCATATGGAGGTCGAGCACCGCTACTCCACTGTCCAAACGAAATCTCTGGTTCCCCACATTCAACCTCTACAGGGAAAGAAAGACATTAGTGCAGTTGTCAAAAATGATCTTTCCATAATATGTATTAGCCTAATTTATACTACACAAGAAAAACAAAACAAATTATTGAAAAAAAATTCAAAACACTTACTGATACATTTTGGAGGCTCAGGCTTGAATGTTCCATCATCCGAACAATGCAACTGTCTTGATCCATTATGTGTATAGCCGCTTTTACAGGTGTACACTATAACGTCTTTATAGTCATAGAGTTCTCTATTTGGACTGAAAGAGCCATCCTGTACTACAGGGGGTGATTCACATTGTGTCACTGGAAAATAAAAATACAAATCTATCAGAATGAAAACAAACAGTGAGCTTTTAATCAGGGGTGTGACTTGTGTTACGACAAGACAACCAACCTTCACAAACAGGCAACCTGCCCGTCCACCCTTGGGTTCCACAAGTGAGTTCTCCTCCACCAACTGGCATATGACTGATTCGAGGGGAAAAGGTTAGTTTAGAGATTTTATTTCACATGACACAGAACAGCAAGTTTTTGTTTTTTTAAGACATGGAATTGCAACGTTTTAGTGATTTACTATGCTACTACTACTTTCAATCTAAAAACTAATTATCTAAACACTGTTTATTAGAGCTAGCATTGTATTACTAACCCGGGGTTACAAATGAGCACTGCTTTATCACCAAATTCAGACCCAGGACGATATTCAATCTGTCCATTTTCAACTTCCTCCACAGGGCCACAGTTCTTCCCTGAAACAAGAAAAAGAAGGTTATATTGGAACCTGTTTTTATAACATTATGTGTAATCTCAACAAATATAGTCTACTATTTATGTAACATGTTTATGTGCTTAAACTGGCTGTGAAATGCAGCTGCAATAAGGAATTTGAATATCAAATCAAGTTTTAATATTCACGTTGGCATTTCAACCCCAGAGAGCTCCAACTTCCAGCAGTACAAGTAATACGTGGGGACCCTCCTGCAGACTCATATCCAGTATTACAGGCAAAAGTAACTGTGGTCCCATCTGGAAAACTAGTTAGAA